CCCCAAAACCCCAAAACCCCAAAACCCCAGAGGGAAAACACCAGATTGAGATTTTCAAATTAACCATTGAAACATAATCACCTCTGAATCACCATCAGAATCTGCGCTTCAATCTAAATCTCCAAATTCAGCATCTTAATTGATTAAAATATCGTACTCAAAATTACCTTGGATTTATTCTATTAGAGTCCATCCTCACCAACAAATATAACTTCTAAATATAATCTAACTCAGATTACTTCCTAAAATATTACGAGTTATCTTTACTGCCGTATACGACTTTGGTTTCTCCAAAAGATTTTTTAAGTAGCTCTTCCTCTTTGACTGTGATTCTGAAGTGATCTAAGTCTATTCTTTCCCCAATTTTTCCTTTGGTGGTAAGAATAGAATCAAGGTAAGGGGTTATTGGAGGGCAAGAAGAACTTCCTCCGAGTCTGAGTTCTTTGAGGGCATCTGGGATGCAGTTTAGGAGGAAGTTGATGACTGAGTCTATATATTAGAAGAAATTATGAAAATTCAATGTTGAAGAAAGTTGATTGTTATGAGAATTTGGGTTCAATTTGATTACATTTCATATTTTGGTCTTTTAATAAATGTTTGAATTGTATTGGGAATATCAGTATTTTGTAAATCTATCAACAAGTTCATAAATTTTACCATTACTACTAATATTATAATGGACATTTTATAAATTAAGAATGAAGTCGAAGAAAATAATCAATTTCAGCCGCATTTTAAAAAATTACGGAGGTACAATTTTCGAACTCTCATCAAGAAAACTGTTTTTGAACTTCTGGTTTCAATGAAAATAAGTTCTTGTAAATTATTGTAATTCAGTAAAATGGTATATTGTTTTTAATTCATTGACCGAGACGAAAAATTGTTAGCTTATCATCCAATAATCAAAGTACACAAATAATATTTCTTTATCGATGGCCAATTTTAATATTCTAGCCATCTTTTCCGATTTAATAAATTGTTCAAATAAACAGAAGTAATTCTTCTTAAAAGACTCTTCTCTAACCAAGCATTCCAATTTATTTTATGCTATAAAATCCCCCAATTCTGAAATCAAACCACATGTAGATCTAATAACATGAAATCTGTATCATAATTTTGCAAATTTCTCACTCCCTTGAAGTTTATTATTTCACACAGTTTTATTGTGCATGAACTACAGAATGAAAGTAAGTTTATGTCCAACTTGTTGTAACTTCAATAACATACATTTTAAAGTTAGCTGATTTTATAAGTTAACACTTGGTAGAAAATATAGATAAGTTTAAATTATTTTAACCTGGTCTAAATACTTATTTGACTCTCTTACAGATATCAGCATAATTATCTAGCATCTCAGCCTTTCAAGGATTTTGGTAAAGGTTTTGAGAGTTTGAGATATTATAAAGATAAGCTATTAAAATTCATATTTGAATGACTAGTTTTTAATTGGTTAAAATTTTCAAATAAAATCACTTTTGTGTTAATTAATAACTTTATCAAAATATAATAAAATAGCTTAAAATACTTAGCGACAACCCCATTCAAATAAATTTTTCACAAAACTTTAAGACCAAAAATGCATGAGCCTAAATAATTTCCTCCAAACACAAATGAAACTACTTTGCCATGTCTTTTCCTAACAAACTTTTGGACTAAGTTCTTTCTTCTGGATCAACATAGAGAAGCTCACTTACCAGTTTCAATTTTATCTAAGCGTAGTAATTCAATTTTCTCTAAATGAGCAACATATCTATTGTTCATCGCCCTGAACACTTTCTTGTGCGAATCCAAACTAAATTTAAATCTAATTTGGTTCTGGGAAATTATCTGTTCTAAGAATTTGATGGCTACAAATAAAGGAAGACCATACACTCGAGGTCTGTTAGCTCTTTTAGTAAAGAGTCAGTTTTTATATATGTCTCCACTAGCATTTTAGCCTACAGGTTATTCAAGAGTTGTTACTAAGCGAGAGTTTCCATTGGTTATAGTTTCTTTGCTTGGTTCTAAATTTGGTCTTTCTTCTTGATAGTAGATAAATTTATTAATAAAATTGATGAGATATAAAAATGAGGATTACTTTTAGACTCTTCTGAGTTTTTAGATTCTTCAGTGTCTTCATAATTTCCTTCTAAATTCTCTAAACTCTCTTTTTGATCGGCAGTCTGAGTGGTCTTGACTCATGTTGGGTTCGTTTTCATATTTTCAAGATTTTTACATATAATTTTGTTGAACCTCAAACCTTGCTCTTCAAGTATTTTACATGATTTCTGAATTCCTGTATCTGTCTGAGAGTGAGACACATTTAGCTCCTCTATTTTCTATTTAAAAGGTTTAACCAAGCTGACGTATTTCTTTGACATATAGCTTCAATCTGTAAACAAATACAACAGTGAAAATCATGACATAATTAAAAAAAATCTGATCACCAAAAATTAACATCCCAGTTGAGGGTTCATTAGTTATATCCAAGAAAGCAGTTAAGCTTTAAAATTTGTATTACTAAGACAGGATAGTATTTATGAAATATAGCTTTGACTGTAACCGAAATTCGTATTTCAGGGTTGCTCTTGTTTGGTTAAAATGGCCCAACTATTTTATTCACATAAAATCTAACTCATGAGTTTTTATGGTAAATTTTCAACAAAGTAGCAATATATTAAACTATGTACTGAAAATTACGACAAGATAATCTTGAATTAAATAATAATATGAGATCTAGAATACTATATACTTAAGCCCACATAACAGAAAATAGTCTAGAATATATTTTACTAATAAACATTTGTGTGCAATAGAGGGGGAGAAATCAGGAATCACAAAATAAAGAAATTGTTCAAATCTAGAAATCATGAGTAGACTAAAACAATGTCTTCGGCTTCACATTACATTTGAAATCAGGGCCTTCAAATCTTCGTAGTTAGTTTTTAGGCCAGCATAACTGGTCTTCATATCTTCAATTTGAACCTTCTTTTCTTCTGTTTGTGCTTTAGCTTCACACAGATCAGTAGTCAATTGGATTTTCTGTGATTCCAGTTCTGTGTTTTGGGCTTTCAGTTCAATATTTAGAGTTTCTAGTTCAGTATTCTGTGTTTCTAGTTGTGCAATTCTGTGTTTCGTGGAGTCCAATTCTTCTCCAAGTTGATCTCTTTGACTGTCAATTTCTGAATTGTGCTTGGATAGTTGTTCTATCTTTGTGTTGAGATCTGTTTCAACCTGGAGTCTCTCTCTTCTGACTTCATCCAAAGTTACCTTAAGGTGGATGTTCTGGTTCAGAATCGAGTCTTCTTCATCAATTCCTTTAACTCGAAGTCTGATGCTTTCAGAGTTCTTAAACAGAAGCATTCTATACATCACAAGGCAATGTACTCAACAAGTATCGGGCTTTGTTTCCATTCTTGCTTGAGTTGTTCTACACAAGGTTAGGCTAAATATATTCAAAAGTAATGCATAAAAGAGTGAGAAACTTACCTATCTGAGGCCTGATGTCTTCCATTCTTGACCAAAACTTTTTGGTAACGAGATTTTGAAAGGCTTCTCTTAACTCGGCAGCTCTAGCCTTAAAGTCTTTGAAAGATTCCATCAAGTATTCCCACTTATGCTGGAGTGTGGGCTTATGTACGAGTAGCAATTCTAAAGTTAACTTTGCGGATACCTATTGTCTCGATATTTCATTCAACTATATATGAAAGCAATTAGAAAATTAATTGTGGTTTCAAATAAAACATTTCTTGAGAGTAAGAAAAATCAAAGGTGGAATTCAATATCAAAAGTTAAAGTTGTATCTAGCTAGGAGTTCAGGCGGTTATCATATATGTACACAAGTGAAGCTAAACTGAAACAAGTTGATGATTACTCCATCATGGTTGCTGAATTGTATAACTATCATCTTAAAATGCGGCTTTACACAGAGATCCCTTCCAACGAGAAGTAACTTAACATGGTATTGAAATATTGATAAATACTAAGATGTATCTAAGAGTCCAAGGTAATGTAGTTCAGAGTCTTTGATAAGAATCATACTCCATTATCTTGACATATCTGAGAACAAATGATAGTTGCACTATGTTCTCACTCTTTGTCTCATAGTTATTTTACAATTTGTCATTCAATAGATAAATTAGTTTAAAAATAGTAGCTTTGTTGTGGGTTTAATATAAAGCTAGCACTCCCAAAATTATCCATCAATTTCAGAATCAAAAATAAACAAGCTAAAATTTTGTCTAAACTCATGGGAATCTGAAGCCTCAAACTAGCTTAGGAGGAATTTGGAGAGCTGTAGTTTTGCCACTCTCACCCAGTACCCTTTTACTCTCTCACTCTCTCAGAGGGAGCATTATTGTCTCATCTCTAGCGTACCTATCTGCAAAGAAAAGTTGATTTCATGTGGATCAGGAAGTGGCTTGACTTCATTGTCCAAGTAGGTCATCTCTTTGCAATCTCCGCAGATGTACTCGTTGGAGTAAATCACATAGAACTCCACAGGGTTCTTACAGTTTGACATGTTGCATTTCAGCTGCTTGAAAATGTTCATTCTAACTAATTTATAATTAATTTTAAAATTTCCTCCTTTTATAGTGCTCTGGGGTTTTGGGGTTTTGGGGTTTTGGGG